TTGTATGCCCGAAACGTCCCCAACATATGCTTAGTATCTTTCATAATATTAACAACTAAATGCAAATTTTTATAAATTTCTTCTAAAATCCATCTTTTTTTCCTGCTCGTTTTTCATTTTTTTTTCATTTAAAAAAAATTCAATTACATTTAATATAGCTGCGATATATTGAAGAAAAATTTTTTTTTCTTCCTCTCTCCACTACAATTTTAATTTGAAAATTCAAAAACCATTACCCTCAGTCGCAGAAAATTTTACTACCGCTCACTTTTCTTGGATCATTTTTAAAATTTCTTAAGAACAATCAAACCTTTAAACCAAAAATATTTCAAAACAAATCGTATTGTACTTCGTAATTCAACAGTGTTCAGTCAAAAAGTCGGTAGGCAATAATCATTTAGCCGTAGTTCACCAATGGAGCACAAATTTTGGTGTCAAAGTGTTAAACGCCTAATAGTATTTCCATACGAAAAATATAAAGTTTGACTTAAAATCCAATAGAAGCAATGCTATGTTAAGCTCTACTAATAATTAATACCAAAACTTTTAACAACAAATAAACTGGTCAGATGACCGACGTCAAAATACTTCCTGATACCCCGCCATCAATCTCACGCCATATATCCAAATTGGATCCAAAGCTAACAAAAAATTTCCTTAACCAATAAGTTTTGATGCAAGATTACAGCAGTTTCTGTGAGACCGCTTCACTCGTGCAAGATCGGAAGTCTCTTTTAACAAAAAACAGAGAATAATTTTCTGTTGGCTGACAACAGTAACAAATTAATGAAGTGTACAACTGCATAATTTTTTTCCCATCATTGACCCGTATAGAAAAGTGTTGCTGATCTATTATGACAGTCAAAAATCTGATGATTTATCAACGACTTTTACGACTAATGATCAGCAAGTAATAAAAATGTCATAAAAACACTTCTGTTAATTATAAAACTGTTCAGTTCAAAGCGCCAAAAACAATTTAGATCTACATATTTAGCAGGAAAAATCAGCAAGTTACTCAACAGCTTTCACTTTGAATTCTCCATTTTTTAACACCATTGTACAAGGAATGGATAATCAAGTCATGTGGAATTCATTTTTGTCTTCCTATCTTGTTTTCCGCTAAAATTAATGCATTATTTCGTTTTTTTTTTTTTTTTTTTTGACA